AAAACGGTCAACTAGCAAACAGACGTGTGGAAGGTGATAAGAAGAAAATAAGGAACAATTATCCCTCTCTTAAATACAGAATTGAAAAATGCAAAGCACACTTCGCCATTCGATCGTGGCGCGAAATCAAAACGGTTCATCATCAAAACATTTCTAATTATAATTACCACTCGTAGATATGGCCACCGTTGTCAACATTGGCCGGACACACTTCGAGATTTTTCTTCAGAACTTCGAGGTTTACCATGCTGACGGATGGACGAAGACGCGGTACAAAACGCTGCAGGCACACGTGCACTTCGCTAAAAGCATACGCGATTATGTTTCGAGGAAAAATGTAAGGAACACGGCATAGCAACAAGCGCGCGTAAGCGGTTCGAAGAAGTTAAACCTCAGCTGAGGTAAATGGAGGTACGAACTGAATGTTGGTGTGAGAAGCAGGAGGAAGATATGAGTAATACCAACGATCAGGCACTCGATATCATGTGATGGAGAGTCACGCCGCGCTCTTCATGCTGAAGCCTGCAAGGATCCGCCGTCGCAGCCGCCGCAGTCGCGATGACTGCAATACTTCCTTCTTTTTTCCTTACCACAACGACCGCCTGCAGTAGCCTCGGCTTTTTCGACTGCCTTTCCTACTATATCTAGAAGCGAGTATTTATTCAGGACGCAAGAAGAGGTCGGTCGACTTTTGACCACCGTTGCCTCAGGATCAGACGCTATGATCGATGGCATGCCGGAGAGGTCTTCAATTGTCAACTAACCAATGCTGTTAACAGCTATGCCGCTGCAGCGTATAAGTGATTAACATGATTACACTGAGTCAAACGACCATCTTCTGCACGTTTGCTTCTAGACTGCTAAAAGAGTAATTTACTCAGGCTGTGGGTCCTGTAGTATTTGAGTTTCGGCAAAACCTATGATATATGAAGCGAGTCTTGGAGTTGTAACGAACAACGTCGCCTCCACACTCCAATACGCAGTTGGCTAGCAAAATACATGCCCTTCATGGACACTTTTTACGCGCATGATGACTACAGTTTCACTTTTATTCCAGAAAAAGAATATCATGCCGAAGAGTATGCAAATGGGAAAGGAGTGAAACGAAGAACAATACTCTGC